ATGGAAGTGAACAATGGAAAGGAAAGATGACGTAGGAATACTAGATATAACAATAATATGGAAAGGAAAGATGACGTAGGAATACTAGATATAACAATAATATGGAAGTTAACAATGGAAAGGAAAGTACCATAAATCATGGAAAGTAAAACTGTAATGGTTTCCATATAACTACACTACAAATTATGTATCGACCAATGATATTAGGCGTAGACTCCTAAACAATACTGAAAATTTTAAACTCGTTTGGTTTTACAACAAGATAAGTAACCAATAAAATATTTCAATTCACTCATCAATTATTACTTATTACAGAGGCGTGCTCATTGAATTATAAACTGGTTAAACTTGAGTAACAAACATAAACATATTAAAAACCACTTAAATCAGCTAAACTAAGATACATTTGCTAAAATATTAATTTATTCCTTACTTAGTTGTCTAGGATTTAATTATATTCTTTACAAATAATTCATTATAATATATTTCTAAGCTAATATATTATCCTCATTATTTTGAATGTAATTACAATTATGTATTTTTTAACTTCTCCAATAGATTGAATCGCAATAGTTTTTATTGAAATTAGTCTAATTCTTAATCATTTATTCTCTTGAAATAAGGTAGACGTTTTACAACCTACATAAAATTTTATGCATATTTTCTTCTCGGATCATAATTTTTAGAGATATCATAAACCTTTCGCCATTAAGTAATCTGTTGTCAATCAAAGCTTCAATCACTTCCAAAGTTTATCCAAAGCGTTTAAAACACAAAGATATATTTCACCAATAAAAAAAGGCAAGTTGAACGTCAAGAAATACGGTTTCGCCGCATTCGTCACTAAATTTTCTTTTAACACGTGAACCTCAAGGAAAAAAAAACAGATTCTACTTTGTAAAAGATTAGTGTTTTCCGAAATGTTGACCAGCGATATTTCTACCTCAAGTATATTTACGTATTGAGTAAATACAACAACAAAAAGTCAGATTCCCCGTCTTCATTTCGCGTCAGATTCAAAAGACAAGAAATTTATCTGTGAACCAGATTGCTTTAGAAAATACAAAAGTAAAAAGCGCAAGTTTTTATAGTGCTGCACATAGTTATACGGATGTGCAGTGTTAAACTTATTTGAATGATATACTTGCAATATACATATATATATATATATATATATATACGTTTGAAATTATCCTTGTTGCTTTATCCTCTATGAAAATATTTCAGTAAAATATAATACAGCGCTTCGTCCAGCGCAGTAACTCATACAACCATGCTGAGGGAGTTAAAACGTATTAAACTTCATGCTAAATAGTTCTGAAACTGTGTGGTTACGTCCATGAAAACCGGTTAAAAATACTTATTTTTGAGGCGCTTTTCTCAATAGCTAATGTATGACACTTCAATATAGGGGCTCATTAACTGTTTGGAACAGGAGAACCCGGATCAACAAAAACATCCTTTAACGAGTTTCTGCTGGCGGTTTTAATGGATTCAATTCTCATGGGAAGGAAATAAAGTAATAATAAGATCCTTAGAACTGGAGCTATTCATCGAACTTTGGCAATGGCATTATAAAGACAGCTGTGGTGAACAAACGATTTCACGAAACCAAACTTTAAAAACTGCAAATTGTTCGGAAAAAAAATTAATTATTTCTTTATAAAATTAGAGACCAACTCACTGCCAGTATTGTTTTGTTAATGTTCTTAATTGCTATGGCAAGCTCTCTTTTATAAATTAATGTGATTTTATACGATATGCATTTCACATTCTAATTCATAAATTATTAATTGAGGCAATATTTTATAATTAGTGTTCTCAAACGAAAAAGCAGCAAAGCTGGTATTTTCAGAGAATCATTTACTCATTAAATAATGTTGATAAATCAAGTCCTTAAGACTAAATCCCAATCAGAGCCTGTGGAATATGAGCACCCTCAAATTGAAACCTGCCAGACTTTAGGGTCTGACAGCATCACTAAGCGAAATGATATACACGTATTAACAATTATGGTCTCCAAATATTGTTGAAGTCTCTGTATCGTTGAGTGTAACATATGTTTCAACTACGTTCAATTTGTCAGACACTTTGGTGTTGAGTGCCACGACCTTTTGATAAATATCTCTTGATGACCAATCCATGGCCTCTACATTTTTTATTCATCAAATTTAATCACAATTCTAACACTGTGTCACTAAACGTTATGTTGCATAACATCAAGATGTAGTCCGATTGTGACCACAACTTAGCGTGAAACTTGTCCAATATCAGGTAAATTTATTGGCGAACATTAACAACGAATACATATATTCATAACTTCCTACACCATAACTTGCCACCGCAATGGTTAAATACGACCCTGTCAATCGTTAGTAAAAATAAAACCTTAACTCATCTCGAAAGACTACCGGCTTAGGTGTAGTTTAATCTTGATTACCTATCAATAAAGATGTTTTGGTTTAAAGATGTTGATTCCATTGTGTTTGGAAAACTGATTTCGTACAAACAAATCGCGTAAACGCCGCTTTCCTTCAGTAAAACATTTAAGTAAAAATTATAAATATTTCATATTACTTTACTATTCTCATTTTCTCTATAAGGAACGGTACTTGATATTTTTAACCTGAATGACACCTCTTGTGACACATGGACTTAACTGTCTGTTAGCTGTGACACATGCACTTAACTGTCTGTGTGTGCAAGTTCACTGAATTAATCCAGGAGTATTTCCTCTAGCCGTCTCTAAATTTGAAGTGATTGGCTAAAGAAAAGGCAGTCAGTAAACATCACCCAGAACCACATCATAGGCTACTTTTATCGAATAATGAGATTTCACAGTTACACTTATAACGCACCCACACCTTTAACAGAACCCCCACCTGAAAGTAGGGTACCTGTTCAGCGGTACATCACAACTCGAATATTGGATCTCCCGGTACGCAAACCATTGAGTTCATGTGACACAGGTGTATTTTAAGTTGTTTTTGTAATATCTTTAATATTAGTTATTCTTTTCTCTTCAAAAAAATAGGTTCTCTATGTAAGAGGTTTATAAAATAAAACATAATAAAACTTATAAAGCTATAGATCTGAGGTCCATGATTGGTGTTTCATTTCAGTACAAAAGAAAACGATCAGACTTAGGGTTCGTGGATGCGTTATAGGAGTGGCGGTCAAATCCCATTATTTAATTACAGTACCACAAGAGTTGGCGGGGGGTGCTGTTGACTACTGTCTCCCCCTGTAGTCAATCAGCTCAAAATTATAGACTGCTAGCGCAGCTAACCGCTGTGTAGCTTTGCGTGAATTCGTAAACAAACTTTCCTCGTTGTGAATCCAATTATCATGGGGCATGATCCAATTATCATGGGGCATGATCCAATTATCATGGGGCATGCTCTTAATTAGATGAAAGAAACGTAAAGCTACTTTGTAAACTAGACACGACTGTGACCTTTTACTGCCACCTTCAAATGAATACAAACCAAACATACATAAGAGAATCCACAGTCAGTAAAAAGAAGTTGGATGAATATATGAAGTAATATTTAAAATAAAAAATCAGTTCCCAAATTTCAATCAATACTTCATAGATTACAATGCAAATTTCAAAGTTTTGCTTTACGTCACCTGGGGTTGGGCAACAGTATTTTATGTCACGAGTGTTTTCACTTGATTCATGATAATTAGTTAAGTTTTTACCGTGAAACTAAATATTGCAAAGCTGTAGTGGTGAACATTCAGATGATAACTTCACCAATAGATTTGGTTTCAACAGTACAAACATAACTCCCAAGGATAAATTAAAGTTGAAAACACTTACACAGTGTTAAATTACAGAACAGTAAAAAGCGTGAATTAAAATGTAAGAAGTTTGTGAACAAAAATAAACGAAGACTAAACATGAATATCATATATAAAGAATGGTATAAAACCTGTTGTTGTATCTAAAAGTGTACAGAATGGTATAAAACCTATTGTTGTATGTAAAATCGTACAGAATGGTATAAAACCTGTTGTTGTATCTAAAAGCGTACAGAATGGTATAAAACATGTTGTATCTAAAATCGTACAGAAGGGTATAAAACCTGTTGGTGTATCTAAAAGCGTACAGAATGGTATAAAACCTGCTGTATCTGAAAGCGTACAGAATGGTATAAAACATGTTGAGTATCTAAAATCGTACAGAATTGTATAAAACATGTTGAGTATCTAAAATCGTACAGAATTGTATAAAACAAGTTGAGTATCTAAAATCGTACAGAATGGTATAAAACATGTTGTTGTTGTATCTAAAAGCATACAGAATAGTATGAAACCTGTTGTTGTTGTATCTAAAATCGTACATAATGGTATGAAACCTGTTGTTGTTGTATCTAAAATCGTACATAATGGTATAAAACATGTTGTTGTATGTAAAAGCGTACAGAATGGTATAAAACATGTTGAGTATCTAAAATCGTACAGAATGGTATAAAACCTGTTGTTGTTGTATCTAAAATCGTACAGAATGTATAAAACATGTTGTTGTATCTAAAGCGTACAGAATGGTATAAAACATGTTGAGTATCTAAATCGTACAGAATGGTATAAAACATGTTGTTGTATCTAAAATCGTACAGAATGGTATAAAACCTGTTGTTGTATCTAAAAGTCGTACAGAATGGTATAAAACCTGTTGGTGTATCTAAAA